TTTTTCCCTTTCGTCTCGCTTTGACCATATAATACACACAACCTCGAACGTCATTGTCAGCCGGTCCCCATCATATCGTCCCCCTGGCTCTCCTTTTCCCCCTCGTTTTTTTCTTTATTCAAACGACACTCGACTCTACCCTATCAACGCGTCACATCCGGTCGACTGGATTCCTCGGAATCAAATGTCCCATCGCTCCGCAGGAATCAGCATAACAAGCTTATATTACGATTTCTCCAATAACCCGTTTTTTTCACACAGCGAAAGAAACAAATCTCTATCGCAAAAATATTTTTATCCGAATGAGGGAGAAAACGGTACCAGAAAGTGGAACCCCCAAAATCAGAATTCAATTGAATTAATCATGATGATTACGTCATTCATCCGCCTCATTTCGTCTGCATTTGTCCCTTTCTCCCACTCATCTCTTCACATTTATCTGGATTACCATGAGCCCTCAAACCATGGAAACCATGGAAAACCCCTGTCGTACATCCGATCGATATAATAGGGTCCTGCTGTACCGACGTCGGCGACTGAGTGGGCTAGACGCAAGTCTAGTGTGCGAAAGGTTGCGAGTTCGATTCCCCGCGGAATTGAATTTTTCAACGGACGGCTCCGGCGAACGGAAGGTTGCTAATAAAGTAACCGCCTATACCGACATGGGTTTCCTATGGTTTCCCATGCTACTCCTATGTTTTATAGGAGCGCGAGTGCGGTACAGTGTAGAATCCACAGCCGCATGCATACACTGATAGAATGATTGAATTTATTCCAAACGAGATTCGTTAACTATTAACGAATGGCAGAATTGAATATGACCAAATGAATATTCGTTAATAGTTAACGAATGGTTCACTTGAATGACGAAAGTCAAGTCAAACAAGGCTCCTGAAATATACATTCGTTAACTATTAACGAATGAACATTTGGTGAGCCCGAATAAATCCTAACTTCTAACCAAAATCCATTCGTTAACAATAACTAATCCGTTCTATCAGTGTAGGGTTGGATAGAGTGCCGAAATGCGACCCGAAAAGGGGACTCAAAAGGCCTTAAATAAAAAAAGGGTCCTGCTGTGCCAATTCGTCACACCGACTAGATGGGCACAGGAGTTCGGTACACTCACGCCTGGCGGCAGCAGCTCCGCACGAGTAGGCAGGGCTCAGCGGATACCCAGCCAAGTATAGGCTATCCAGTAGAAGTTTATCCTTCCGAGGGTACCCCCACTCTACGTAATTCCCACTCACATGGTTGAACCCCACTCCAAAAATCCGTGGATATTCTTCTGGAAGATAACCTATACTAACTAGAGGCACGCTACCCGTGTGACCACTACTGTCGCTCTCATGATGATTACTATTATTGAACTGAGTCAAAATAATACGACCATATTACTGAACTATATTACTTGATTATTAACCCCTCACGTACGGGGTCGATGCAATGCATCCACCCATGAAAATGTAAATGACTCTCTTTAAAATTGATTATTTCAAAAACTGGAATTCAACTCAACCAAAGAAATAACGAAAAACGGAATACTGTAGCTTCAATTACACATCGATTTTATAATTTTCCGTTGAGTAGAAGTATTTACATTCTAGTTGTATCGAGCGCACTACACGCTTAGAAAGAAAAGGGCCCCGTCCGTGGGGGGTTAGACTATGAGGTCACTCTTCCTGGCGAAACCGTCTGTGTGGTCTTACGTCGAAACTCCAAACGGACGTTTACTAAATAATACGAGTAGCGAAGTGGTAAAAGGGTTAAAGTCGACTTATCTCCCAGTTGAGTTTTTGAGGAATATGTCCGAATCTAAGGGAGATAGCGAAATTTTCGTAATTACATTTGTTGTAGCTCTCAATCGGCTGTACAAAAAAGGTTATAACAAAAATTTTTCTATCTCCCTTTGATTCCGAGATATTCATTGAAAACTGGTCAATAGTCAAAATTGACAGTTCTTCAACTGATCTCGAAGCGAAAATACGTCTTAATGAAAGTTCAGTTGCTCATATAAATCGTCATTTATTTAATCTACCTGGCATCCACGAAACCAATAACTGTTTTTACTAAATAATAATCGGTAAACGAAAGTTTCATGTCCCTATGCACATTTGACAAATGTTCCTAGCATCGTCTCGTGATGATTGGGATTATTTGAATGATACGGAGAGGTTACATCGCTACCAATCATATCGCGAATATTATATTTCGGAATAAAACAACATTAAAACATATCTCGAGACAAAAAATTACGTTTGTATTGAACAGTCTAATCTTTTGAATGATTGGTTCATCCATTCATTCCTTTGTAACTTTTCTTTTTTTTCTTTTATAATTTATGCATTTTTATTGTATTTTAAACTATCTGAAAACTTGTTTGAGGGAGTTTTAATCCCATTCTACTATTACAACGGAAAGATCAGTCTTAAAAATTGTGAATTCCTTAACTTGCGACTCTGTCGTAGTCGATATGAATGGGATTTAGCTCTTTCACTTTAAATGAATCAATGTTTTCTGTCATAACTTGCCGCATTAACTAAAACAATGGCTCCATATTTCGGTCTCAAAAGATCCCTAGAACTCTCTAAATAATTGAAATACGATGGCTGATGAAGTACTGTTTCACGATATTACGGTTCACAAAGAAATATTCACCCAAACTCTCAGCGATAAATTGACCGAAAGAAGTGTAGACACGAGTGTACCACAAAGTTGAGCCACTGATGTAAAACAAAGTTCTCGTTGTCCAGACGTTTATCCGTGAGAGTTGTGCAAAAACAAGTTGAAACGCAGACATGAAAGAAATGGAGGAGAGGAAGGCAAAGTGGTGAGGAAGTGAGGAATAAAGGAGACAAATTCTGTTGGTGGAGTTGGCGCGATACACTAGTTTTCGGTCGATTAGCGTCCGAGAAGTCTCAACTACGCAGTCACTGTTTTCTCTCTCAACCCGGTAGTTTGGCTGTTTGAGAACTTGGGGGACATTAGTCACTCTGGTACATTTTCGTGGGGCTGAGTGGGCGCACGGATGAGACAGACATATCGATGAAATAAAAGGAGGGTTGAGGCTCAGCAGGAGATCGCGAAATGAGCAAAAACAAGTCAATCACATCAACTTGTAGACTTTATTATTCTCTATTGAATCACTTGTCAATAAAATTGCGGAAACGTTTGACTCTCTGAATCAAATCATACGCGGAGAAAAATTACTAAAGGAATGAAGTAATCGTCTAGCGGAATCCGTTTTCAGGGCTTTTTGATTGTCGAGATTATTAGAATAACTTCCTGCCTTTATACATGTTTCGTTGTTCATTTCATTTTACTAGATTGAATAAGATTTCTTTCCAATTAATTTGGTAAGACATTCATTATTCTTATGATCCGTTTATTCTGTACAACCGATTGTCCTCTTTGCGGCTCTATCTCTCCCCTCAGCCCTTCGATAAAATCGAAAAATTTTATTTACACATACTTGAATGAATTTGAAACAACACATTTGAAGAAACCGCAAAGCTCACTTTCAGAGAAATTCATGAAAAATTCTAAATTTTCAACAATAATCATAAAAATTAAATCAGCCAATTTAGCTATTATAATCATTTTTTAACTTCAACTTAATGGCATTAAAACAAACATTTTAGGCTATCATTGAATTCATTTGAAGCATGATATTCAGAGATATCCCCGGAATTCTGATTTTCAAAAAATACAAAACTTGCAATTTTTCAAATAAACCAAAATAAAGATTATTCCTATCGCCTTCATCTTCGAACTCGGTCAAAAGAACATCCAAATAATTTTTTCGTGAGAAGACCCGGTAAACCGCGATTCTGACCTCGCTTCGCTCGGTTTGATCGCGGTTTACGGGCCTTCTGACGAAAAATTGCATTCATCACACGGTCCAAAAGTATTTTCTGACGAATGTGATTATAGGCCTTGCCTTCGGCTCGGCCTACAAAGCCACATTCGTCAGAAAATACTTTGTGGACCTTGTGATGAAAATAACTATTTTAAGCCATCATTCAATCAATTCAGAACATTCGTTTTACTTATCGTGGGACAATTTTCGAAAAAATTCAAAAATGAAAAGAAACTAATCAATTTAGTTAAATTATAATCAACGACGATTGATGGGGCTCAACAATGCCTACACTTTCCAAAAAAGATTCAATTCCACCCATTAATTACCCGACGAATGGCCGAAATTGGTCGATTTAACACAAAAAATCCAAAACGACTGCAAAGCTTCCATTCGGAACCAAAAATCGTGAAATTCCACTCTGCAGTTCTCGAATTATTTCCGCTGGAACCCCCAACTTCTCCGGCCACTCCAAAAATCATCGCTAATAACGAAAGACTCCCCGCGTCAAGTCGCTTCTGTGCACCTAATATCAAATTTCCCAAAGGATTAGGGGTGAAAAGAAACAAAAAAAACCCAACGGAACGTATGAATCAGTCGCCGCACGTGTCGAGACATCTGAAATAAAGTGGGGAAAACCGAGAGAGAAGCCGCGATTGATTTCCCCCTAGCGACAAGAAAGACCGATAGAGACAGATAATTCGAGGGGAGGAAGCATAGCAGGACACGTGTCCCACCGGGGCTCAACGTATAGGCACTTCATTGAGTGCTTGCCACCCTACGCTCGCCATTATACGCGCGTTGAAGGGGACCCCGAGGATTCTGTATCGAAATTAGCACACTCAACAACTCCCTCACTCTTCTCTCTCCTCATCACCGTGTGCAGAGCGTTGATCAAATGGAAGTGGCATTAGGCTGAACTGAGCAAATACGCACTAAGTGCCTTCACTAGTCCATTGACACACGTGTTCTCATACAATATTGGCTCTGTATATCAGTATATTCAAGTGCCTCGAAATGTCAAGACTAATAAAACACATTTGTGTAAACAAAACGCAAGTACAAGAGTTCCCTGCTGCTATTTTATTTCGAAACGTGAAGGAATCGACGAAAAAAAATTCAACAAAAAATAATAACTCACCGGATGGCGTGCGGCCGCTGCGGCAGCAACAGCAGCGGCATTTATTCCAGCACTGGGATACATCTTTCAGGCGTTTCCACAACGTCCAATTGTCCAACACTCCGATATCCCCAAACGTTCGTCAGACTATCCTTTTATTTTGGCACTTTCACGCGTCATCACACACACACTTCACCCTCTCAAATCCACAGAATAATAAAAACCTCGACGCCAGTAACGAAAAAAAAACCCAGTAATCACACTGGAGGTGAGAAAAGGCGCGCTAAACGCGCAAACACTGCCAGCACCACAAGTATACACGTCAGGGCGCTACGAGTCACAGCCAGAAAGCGTTAATTTCAAATCCCCCGCCATTAGTTTCTACTCACACCTCGTGGCCTTCACCATACCCCCTCGCAACAATCTAACCATCCAGCATAATTATTATCCCGAGAAGCAATAAAAATTCTACAACGCTTGAGTGACGGAGCACAACGACACAAACACGTAACTGATACAATCCCACTGCTAAATGCCACTGGGCGAATAAACCGTAGCCTTCGATCGGTAAAACAGAGTCACGCCAGCCGGTTTAACGTGTGCAAGCGAGACGTGGATAGACGCTTCTTCTCTTCCCCTTCTCCTGATAAATTCACGGGTAAATGATGTGGCATCGACACCACCACGTTTTCTCTCCCCCCCCCCCATTAAATAAACCGTCGTTAAACCAAAAATAACCCTCAACAACTGATCGATCAAACCAACTCCAAATTCACGGGGATGTTTTCACAACTATATTTCCCCTCCAAAATCACTTCTCCATTCCCCGGATCGAATAATTCAAGAGTACTCAGCCGACAGATTCACAATATTCTCGACAACTGACTCGCGTCCTGAGACAATAACGAAACCACTCACTCGTAACCTCCACGACACTAAATTATCGACAATTCAGACATAAACGTTGTTGCCTCTGCAATAGCTCCGAAGCGACTGGCCAGTGAATGAGTGGTGGGGATACCAGTCGCCCCTCCAGCGCCACTCTGCGGCGCAGGGGCAATTCACCCAAACCCTCCCCACTATTTTCACAAACCAACACTAGTGTATATAACGCTAGAACGACGTTTCACCCGGCGCATTAACCGGTACGATAGCTCCTTTACAATTATTGCGATTAGTTACGTGAATGACCCCGAAGGGCGTATGGTGAAACGAGCGGCGGGGGGGGGGGGGGGGGGGGGAGAGGGGGAACAGGACACGGGAAATCACGACACGTCGGTCTAATTGAGGCCAGATAAGGACCACGGCCGTAGGTTTAACGTTGATGGCTGCGTTTACGTGACTACGTAGTTTATTCAGCTCTTTTTATCACAGCATTAACCAACGAATTTCACGAGGCCGATATAAATTCATTAATAGTGATAATATTTTAACGTATTACTTGTTTGTATTTCATTTGTCCAATCGTTTTTCCATTCAATCCGGTGGCGGTGGAGGCCGAGGGGGAGGGGGATAAAATTTATCATCATTACTGAAACATGATCAATAGAAGTGAATGGAAAACTAGTGGGTTTCATAATCACCCCACCCCACCACCTCCCCGGGGCATCACCCCTTGAGGCATTCGTGTGGGTGAAAATGAGAGGGAAATAGAGAGACAGTGAAAACGGTGGTTATCGTCCCGACAAATCTGTTGGTAACGGTTTGGCGGGGCGATGAACGGATAACTTGATAATGTCCCAATCGTAAGTTGCATGTTATTCGATTCGTTCGCCCATAATACTCGGCTATTTATTCGTCAATCGAACGATTCTATGCACGCAAAAAGGGGGAGGCCCCCCTAGCGCTCGTGGTTGTATTATATTATGAATCGTCTGCATGTGAAAATGTACAACACATACAGATGAAGAGCCCGGGAAACATATCGTGCCGTCTGTTATTTCAATGAAATTCGATCGATATAACACCAGTTTTTTCGTGTTTTATTTTTTCACTCTATCGAGGGG